ATAGATCCGTGAATCTCGTTTTAAGTGACGTTCAAAAATAAAATCTCTACTTAAAATTAGATTCACGACTGAAACACCTTTTAAAATACGGGCCTTAGGTAGTGTTAATTTTCGACTCACCATATTTTGTTTCCAGCATGTATTGTACGCGGTTGTAGTAGTACATTATTTCAAAACTCATCCAACCATCTCACCTAACTTTACGTTTAAATCTTCATAACATTTCTAAGTATTAAATATTGACTGCACGGATGGCGTAGTGGTTTAAGCGGTCGCAACGCCGCTTCCTACTACGCCGAGTGTTGTGGGTTCAAACCCCTCATAGGACGACACTTTGTGTGACCCACAAATTGTTGTTCTAAGTCTGGGTGTTCTTTGTATCCGTTTCATGTATGTTTGTTAAGTCCCCCGTGACACAGGATTTATTTCTGATATCTATCGTATAAAGTACGTTATGAATTCATTAGAAAATATTATCCTTTATAAACAGAAAGTGAAATCATTCCTTACTTGGAGCCATCAAATATTAGCTTTAGCGTCATGTTGCTTTGTGTAAGATATGCAAATTATTACTATTGAAGTGTCAAGATACACTTGTAAATAATCCGACAGAAATATATGGATGTGTAATAGTGTAAGTAACAGACATCTTCGTTATATGATACGGATATTATAAACTGTGTGAAACGCATCGGAAGCTAGTTCGAGTTTTTTGTGTAAAATCTGTTATACAATCTGGAGAAAGAGATTAAATTATTTTAAAAAATCGTTTTAACTAAATTAGATGTTGAATTAACACACAGCATTTTAGTAAATCCAAAAACTGAAGCGGCCCAAAAATCAAGCAGTTTAATATTAGTACCTTTTAATTTTTATCTTTCATAAGGTAATCTAGTACATAATAAGTTAATATCAGGTACAATTGAGCTTGTGAGCTCGTGAGAGCCTTTCCGAAACAATAGAATTAAAAACATCTGTTAGGAAGAACTGATCAGCTGACGGCTGACAAAAACCACAAAATAAACAGTGAACAGTAATAATAACATTTTAAGAAGGATAATTGGGACCCATTGTTCTTAAAATGTCAGCTACATTTTAGCTTCAATTTGTAGACGACCACAAATTGTAGCTAATATGTGATTTGGCTGACAATAACTTTCTTTAGGAGAGGGTTTTATAGCATTCTCTTCTGTATAAAAATCAATTTACACCAACTACTAATATTAATAATCATCAGATTTTTTTTGTTAACAATTAATTAACTGAATTATTTTTTTGTATTATCACTGTTCAAGCGGTTCACTGTAAAAGCAGTATGTATAATTTGAATCACTCAAGATGCGGGCGCGCGTTTACCAAATATCCCATACCGGGCGAAAGTTTTATATGGGGCAGCTTAATTCTAGCACAATGTTCTTGCGATAGTAAGACGCGTTATGGAGGATTAGCTCGATAGAAAAAAAGGGACCCTCTGACGCAAAGGATGCTTTTGAGGTCTCCTGTGTCTGATTCGCAAAGAGGCCAGACGCATGACGCTTAACATGGTGGCACAATGTCCAGCGTGAATGGAGCAGAGGCATGACCTCGTGAACGATTGCGTCCATGGTACGGAGCGACTAACTTCTGCAGGGTAAAGTGGAACCGGAAAGGACTTAGAACCCTCTCCCGGCTCACCAGGCCCGAGGACGGACTAGGCTTAACGCACGTGGCTTAAGTACTGGTAGTCGCTGAATGATCTCCATAAGCGCCGGGCCTGGGAGTGACAGGTGGCGACGCGACGCGCTCCGAAGCTCCTTTAGCGTTGAGGGGAAACCGTGGTCACTACACACCAGGAGTCCAGGCAGCCGAAGGATGCTACACGACACGGTACGGCTTGGTGAAGGATTTTATTCCACATGTTAAGAATTCATATTATTTTACTTTTACCTTTTTAACACAACTACACCGCGCGACGTCTTCGTATAAGACAGCCAAACTACTTGAAATAAGGTTTAAGCCGGATGTGGCGGTGCTGTCGGTAAATGGGGTGCAGCCTGGGTTGGGCGCGTGGGCAAAGAAGGAAGCACGCGCATCTTGACTCAAACTGAGTGTTTCGCGTGTTCTTCACAAATGATGTACCCAGAATTGTCTCTCTTCATCTTCAGCAAGAACTACTAATAATACTTAATCCCAGTCAATCAGAACGACGAAATCAACTTTGTATCCGTGCAGACGCAACTGATTTACTGTCTCTTGCTCTTGACTCCGACGGAGGAGGGCTATAATCTTGCGACCTATGTAACTCGTGGCATATGGTGGCATAATAATCTGTAGAGTTAAACCGCATGATACGACATGCTGCGACGTCCTCCGACATTCCACATCATGCCGCGGCATAATTGTATTGAAATTAAGTAATATGATCGGATATTAAATTCATAACCACCCCACCGGCTGTTCGGTATTGAACAGCTAGCGGCGGCCCTGCGCTGCCTTAGTGGCCTTGGCCTTGAGTGAGGCCTTGGGTTCGATTCTTAAATCGGCAACATTTTATAGGGTTTTTCTGAGAAGATAAACCCTTTTAAAAAAAGTTGAACCGACTTCTAACAATACTAACAAAGAACACAAAAAAACTTAGCGGCAATCGCGGTTGATTTGCTGTCATTTTTTTAAGAGTTCCGTTGTCTGTCTCCAAAAATCCACATCAGATCTATATGAAATTTAAATGGGACCATTTTGGATAAACCCCTTACGAACAAAAGAAGAATTCTCAAAATCCGTCTTTATATGTCGGAGTTATAGGCCGTACATAAAAAAAAAAACAACCTTTAGATGGTTATAGACTCGTGGCGCTATGCAAAAATACGCTCCGATCCATCAAAGCACTTTTTTGCTAAGGACAACATATTTTGAAATTACTTTTATACTGATCAAACATGTTTAGGTTACCTCTTCTGAGCTATAAATACTTGCTCCATTACGAGTACAGTACAGTTACCCTAAAATATGATCCCATGCCTCAAGATCGAATCCACGTATCCGTGATATGCAGTTAATACAGCGCTATGGTTCAATTTTTTTTGCGAGCATTTATAACGCATATTACTGGGTATTTAATTTGCATAGAGGTATTCCACGTGTACCTATCCAATTCAGGTTGCTATCTATATTTATACCTAGAAAACCTTGTTGTTTCTACTTCGTTAAGTTTTTCGCCTTTATAAGATACGTTTATGTCCATTACTAAGGGGAATTCTATTTTTAAATGTCATTAAAAGTGTTTTGTTTAGATTGATTTTTAAGTTATTTAATGTCAATCATTTTATTACATTATTGAAATATTGTTAGATGCTCATTTTATATTTAGGACCATTACAGGGTTGTCACTCTCAGTCGTTCTCCTCCAAGCATATTACATAATGAGAGATAAATCCTATGTAAAAGTCAGAATCTGTAGTTCAGCTATGATAGGAAATGGTAAGTAAATACATATTATGAAATCATTAAATTAGATCCTTTGTATCGCAATTTAAAAAAACACAAAACCGATTAAAACATTATTTCAATACTCAAATTAGATGTCTGTCTATGTTTGAATAACTAGTAAAATGACTTTTTGCTATCCGCAATAATAGTTAATACAAATCGTCACTACCTACCCTTTTATTAGTGTCGTTTAAACTGATCGAATCTAAACCATTACCCCATATGTATGTGCGGTGAAAGTAATAATAGGGGCCTATAAAACTAATTTATAGTTTGTAAACCTACGCCTACAGCGATATTTGTGGTTGTGATATAATTGGATACTAAGAACTACTTACAGACAAACACTTCTAATCCTTAATAACTTTAAGTAATCCTACTTACTAATAACGGGAAGTGCACCAAGTAAATCATCATTATCATCATCATCATCAACAGCCATTAGTAGTCCACTCTTACACTTTTATCAGACAGTTTACAACTTACTACTTCTAAGGAGAGGTCTATACCTCTGCTTAGAACGGAGGTAAATACTTACATCTTAAATAAAACACAAATTATGTGTTTGTGTGAATTGTTTTGTATGAATCATAAATGTATTTGAAAGTGTAATTTATATGTACGCTCTCGAGCCCCGACTGAGAGGGTACTTCAGCGCATGCCAGTTCATGAAATTGTGGAAGACGGGTAACTGTTCCTCATCCAAAAGGAGGGGCTCCCGGCGGACTCACCATCCACCAGCTCATAGTGTTGCTTGACAAGGTGTGCAAGCTGTTCAAAAGAGTGATTGCAAGGCACTCGGTCTTTCTAGCAAGCTGTTATGTTGGTAAGATGCGTTATGAAGGATTGGCTCGATAGAGACCACGGGACCCTGATATTGGCTGACGCTCTGGTTTGATTCTTGAATCGGGCAAAATTTTTATGGGGTTTTTCTGAGAGTATAAATCTTGAAAAAAAAAAAGTTGAACCGACTTCTGACAATACTAACAAATACCACTTGATTTGCTATCCTTTTTTTAAGAGTTGCGTTGTATGTATCTAAAACTCATCATCAGATCTGTATGAAATTTAAAAGGCACCATATACAAATAACCCCCTTTCAAACAAAAAACAATTTTGAAAATCGTCCATATACTTATATCGATTTGCGATTTTTTGCGACAAGCGCACAGGACGGACGCTAAGTGTACTAACTTTAAACTAGGTTGCAATAAACTTTTATTTCTATCCGAACCCTAGCAAGAATCTAATCACGCGTCGCTGCTATTGTAATAAATTTTAGACTTTGAATAAACATATTTCAAGTATTTTTTCTTGTTAATATGACCCAATAAAATCAAGTTTATTATAAATCCTAACAAAAACAACTATCCGACGAGACGTATTTTATTTTTAACTCCTAATTTGAACTTATGGCAAAGCCGCGTAGCATGAAGATCAAAATACATAAAGCATAGGCGTTAGTCAAATATAAACTATATTTAAATAGAACTCAACCTTAAAACGACAGAGGTAAAATTGAAGTTCCGTTGCAGATGCTGGGAGACTGGTTCGTAGTGGAATATTATGCGAGCGCTGAAGAGGCTCTCTCGTACAGTTGTATGAAAGCAGTTTTTACTCAGGACGACCACGTCGCAACGGCAGGTTTGTATATGTACTTAGTATTGCGTAACAAGTTTGTATGGAATTTTCTTAGAATTAGGTATGTATGACATATTAGTAGTATTGTTAACATTGAAAAGTAAATACAATGACTTATTAATGAATTCGTTCTTTTGTATTGTCGTCAATGTCAGCCGCGTAACATGCTATTGTAGCTATATTATAAACTCTGAACCTATGTACATGTACCTTGGAAATACTATTATATTTTTGGTTATAAAAATATTTTACCCGTCTGGCCAGCGTGGTATAGTAGGCCAAAACTTTTATTTCTAAGGGGAGGCATATGTCCAGCAGTGGACTATTAAAGGCTGTTGATGATGAAAAAAATATGTTCAGCAATAGGTAGATATACACTATATATAAAAGCATCTTATTCGTCATAATCGACAAAGTGCCTCCTTTTGTTATAATGAGATAAACCAGAAACTAGGTAAAAGACGATTGTAGTCATTTTTAGGAAAAAAGTAACCTTCAGGAGTGTGTGAATAAATAAATCTTTTTTTGTGCGTGTGGAAACCCCTTCCTTACCGAAGATGCGGTGAGGCGATGTGTCGGACTCGAAACGAGTACCGACACACGAGGTGTGCCATACTGACCTTAAAATATGTGGTTCTGGAACAGCCTTTAGTATAACATCTGTATGTAGGTATCATAATGTATAAAGAAGAAAGTCATTTGAAGAACTATATCAGTTAAAGAACCGTTAAAGACCGTCATTAGGCTTTTGGAAAAACATATATTGTCATGTAATACTTGTCATGCGGTATGCAGGTGTCGTATATTTCTTCTGCGAATCCTAAAAAAACGATAACCTAATTCATAACAGTGGTCAACACACCTATTGTTTGCAAAATATTATATAAAATGTTAGTAATGTTAAACAATAACTCAGTTTAAATCGTGTTCTTTAAATTTTGGACAGTATATCTGGGACAAGTTAGCTGGGTACTTATGTAAGTCATGTAATTAATCGGACCTTGTGATTGTTCTGTTTTTATTTTATATTGGCCAACGAGCAGATATATCAACTAATGGCAGGTGACTACCGGCATCCTTGGACCCCTTCAATACAAAAGTCACAAATGTGTTGCCGTCCTTTAAATGACCACCGCAGACTTAACCTTTTTTTCGGTTTTGCGGCGGATGGTGTGTTGGAAACGAACCGACTTAAACCACACGGTATGCTATTTTGCGCCTGTAATAGGAGAGAAACGGGAACCATATTATTAATAAATCCGGACCCCTCCTAATGCCTGCTCGAAACGGCGCGGGCACCACCATCTGGTACCGCAGACTTATCCTAGGGTAGCCTTCGGTATTCACTCTGTAAACGCAACGTAAGAATAGTTTAACACCGGTTTTCTATAAAGCTGTGGAGCCAGCTTACATGAGCTGAAGCATGGCTTTTCAACGGCAAAATTATTGTTCTTTTTAAAACTACAATATTAAATAAGCGACCGGCCAACGGCCAACATTTTTATAATCGGTTAGTCCAACAAAGGTTGAAGGCAGAAGAGGAGAAGGAAACAATAAGGTTGTCAAGAAAGTTAATTACATTAGAGGAGTTTAAGAGCAAAAAAAATGTGCAAGCTAGTCTCAAGCATTCTAAAAGACAAGTTTGTGTAAACTAATGTATCTACGTCATCTGCTTCTGTTTCCTATTTACTGAAAACAATGAATAAATGAATTCATTTTCTTACAAATGCTGTTTTCAGCCAAATTAGTCTCAAGGCTTCGTTATGTATATTTAGTCTTACGTTTACCTATCTGTCATTTAAGTAGTAAATAAAGTGTCAGTGTTTACATTTCTTATGCTACGAGTACTTTTTAAGACATTAGAAACTAAGTAATATGTTAAATTAATGCGGGGATTATTGGTCAATTTTGCGACAAATGTACTTTAAGTACTACTGCTGTTTTATCTTATATCTACTACTTTTTTCTAACAACAATTTTCGTTAGTACCAAAGGACAAGAACTTTCGAACTTAGTAGACTTTAGTAGTACTTAGTAGTTAGATCCTTTTTTAGTGAAATAAATATTGCACAGTTTTTTAAGTGGTTTAAATATCATCATAAAACTTTTAGTAAGGTAGAGCTTAGTTTCAATGTTGGAGTAAAACTAAATCCAGTTATCAAGAGTAGATAACCAAAGATACTTTTCATTGATTTCAACATTGATTGCATAGAACTTATTACAGATGAATAACTGTTACATTGACCGTATTCATTTATTCATCTCATCATAATATTTATTCCATTTCATGCTCAATGACTACGACTATTCAAAGAACTTAGCTTATTCTCAGCGATTTTAAGATTAATTGTGTAGAGCTTCTTACAGATGAATAAATGTTACATTGACTGTATTCATTCAATAATCTCAACATGATATTCGATTTTATACTTAATGACTATATTCAAAGAACTTAGCTTTTCTTAGCGATTTTAATATTAGTTGTGTAGAGCTTCTTAGAGGTGAATAACTGTTACATTGACCGTATTCATTCATTCATCACAATGACATTTCACGCCATTGACTATACCTATTCACAGAACTTAGATTTATCTTAGCGATTATAAGATTAGTTTAGTAGAGCTTTTCACAGATGAATAATTGTTGCATTGAGCGTTCATCATTCATTCATCGCATCATGATATTGGATTTCATGCTGAATGACTATATTCATACTGTATTTACTTTCGATCAAATACTTTTATACTACAAAGCAACAAATTATTTTTGAATTATGTGTTATACAAGTTAAAATTCTCAGCATTTAATACTTGAAGTAATTAACCCAAGTTAGAGATGCAAAAGTCAACTTGTTTGTACTGTATTAACTTTCACACTTTATTCGCTCCTCATAATTTTCTTTCATATAATTGGGGCAAACGAGCAAAGGGGTCACCTGATGGTAAGTGACTTGGAACTGGACTATTTTAAATTTACTGTCATGGTGGCTACTCAACAAATCAATTCATAGAACTTAACTGTGTCTCTTTGAGGTGTGGAAGGTTCAGATTGTCACAAGAACGTTTAGACTGTTTTTCTTAAATGTTCTAGTTTAAAACAACAATTTAAACCTTTTTTGTCTTCCTTCTCTTCGGTTAACAATCATCTGTTGCTATCAAGAGAACCATTCACTTGTTTACAGTAGATAGTACAAAGACAGTATTATTCTTATGAAAAATGCGTAAAATATAAGTGAAAACCTCTATTATTAATAAGCCGGATTTCCATCAGCCGCTCCGAAGCCGCGAATTCGCATATATCCATACATATATGTATAGGTATTATTCTAGTCATAAAGGAGTTAATTAGAGAATGTATTATGTAAATATTGTATGGTTGAATTTACAGTAATAAACAATTTGACTTTAGAATATTTTCATATGAAGGTAACTTAAGAGGGAGAGAATTATAATATTTAACAATAATAATAACCTCATACATCTCACACATGGCCGTCTGATCCCAAACTAGGTACAAAGCAACAAAGCCTGCAGGTACTATGGTAACCTGACTACTGATAAACATCCTCATATATTTCAAAATACATAAATATTACACCCATACACAGAACAAATTATGATCATAATCCAATATATAAAAATCTCATGTCACAGTGTTTGTTTTCGAACTCCTCCGAAACGGCTTCACCGATTTTTATGATTTTTTTCTGTACATATAGGTCTGAGAATAGATCTTAAATTATTTTTGATATCTCTAGGTGGTAAGGGTGACCCTCCCTAGATTTTTTCTTTTATTTTTATTGTTAATATGTTAGTTAAGTTAATAAAGTACATTGAATAAAAAATGAATAGTTAGTGTTTTGTTATTTTTATAGGCCATCGTCGGCTACAACGCTCCATGCCTCTTTCAGTCATGGACCCCATCCCCACATACTTGCAATAAGTTAGTTATTTTTTTGTTTAACTACCAAAATATTCACTAGACATAATTTATATGGCAAAACAACGTTTACCGGGTCAGCTCGTCATCATATACTTATTTATTCTGGGTCGGAATCGAACCCACAACCTATTTTTTAGAAGTCAGGATTACTACCCACTAGACTAATAGACCCGTCAATGATAAACAACATTTGAATTTAAATGAAATATAAATATATATATATATATATATATATATATATATTCACAAAAGTTATTCAGAGATTTTGCGAAAGATGAATTATGTATGTAATATGTAAAATACGGCTAAAATCATACGAAACCCTCTTTTTCTCTTCGTGATATTCGTATAAAAAGGGATACTGAATGATGCGTAAATTCAATTTCACGAACACAAACAATACAAATAACCTCTAAATAACACAAAAACATTGAAACAGACAAAAAACTAAAGCAAATTTGTTGTTTAAAGAAAAGTCAAATAAAATACAATTATTTTGTTAGTCTTTAGGGTAGATTACTTATGTCACATTAAAATAGAGACTGCTTTCATAAACACTTACGCCGTCAAAGAATAATATACGCTAACAAATAATCATTAAAGTCTGAAACTGCCTACCAAGCTTTAAAAGTTATACGTGATCCTATACAAAAAAAAATACTACGCATGGAATAATAAACCTTCTCCTGTTTGTTTTACGTTCGGTAATAAAGGAAGTATATTTACATGCCTTTTATTATTGCTTTCGCTCATCATGCTCATGCACTACTAAGGAATCCAAAAGTTTAATCAAAATCGGATGCAATTCATCAATTTATGAAACTATTTTGATTCATTCATTCAACATTTATTGTACAAATTATTTTGATTTATACATTTCCATCGTACTACGTGATTTAAATTTTTAATAATATCTTTTTACAAGGGCTCTTAGCGATATCACAATAATCACATGGTAAATAAAAATTATAAAATTATATATCTCCATCTCACACACAGGGCCGTCTGATCCAAACTAGGTAAAGCCTGTACTACGAGTATGGTAACCAGACTGCTGATAAACATATGTACTTATAAATTTTTAACACACACAGACACAGAACAAATGACCGTGCTCATCACACAATATTTGTCCTGGGTGGGAATCGAACCTACGACCTCCGGTGACTGCTAATCAGGGTCACTAACCACTAGACCAACAGGCCCGTCTAGTAGTAAATAGTACATGTCATGTGTAAAATTGATGTCTTTTTTAAACAGTACAGCCATTTTGCCCGAATGAGGTATTGGCACCAAATACAAAACTTTTAAATGCATAATGTTTTTCAGATGGTTCTGTGGAATGGACGCCAGGTGTAACGATGAATTTTACCTATCGTTTTGCTGATGACCCCCTTGGTGAAAATCTCCTTGGCAATATAACGTGGCGAGTGGACTTAAACGAGCCAGCTCACTGGACTCATGCTGAGAAAACATGTAAGAGACTATAATCGTTAAAAAAAATGTATTAAAAATTTAAATAGGTACATATGAGTTTGAAAAAAATGCAAATAAAATTACTTTATTCGATTTTTGAAGAAATGTATGGCGGTGATGGGTGTCACAAAACAACTTCACATAAACCGAGTGCAAGTTCTGTACATAATAAGCCCGGTGTGTTTTTTACTTTTGGTATTATAAACACAGACATAATAATATTTTTCCTTATTACAGATGAAGGTATCTACAACACATATGTACTAGATACAGAATACAAGACGTGGTCGCTTTTGCTGCACTGTGCTGAGCAAAAAGAGGGAACCAGATACCTCAGTGCCTTTGTTTTGTCAAGGAAGACTTCTTTACCGAAAAATGTCATGGCGTACTTGAGGGACAAACTGCCGAGGTAATAAAAATTTTTTATCCTTACAATTTTTTTTTTTAACTTTGTTACAGATAATTGAGAAAATAAAAGAAAATTTGTCATTTTAGTTAGTTATGAATTTATTTAACCTTATTGGTAGTCTTTAGCATTTTTTTCTTTAATTTATTTCATACGAAGAATATGTGGGAAAAAAACTACCGAAATCGTGGAGAAAACTACAGTTTGGTAAACAAATTTTTGTTGGGAGTACATATCCAGGGCCGCAATAAGAAATTCTAAATAACCATATTTTTTCAGATATGACATTGACATAAACTACGTGTTTCCAATACCTCACAAGGATTGTTCATCGAAGCCTGCTAAGTCTGACTATACACCAATTCTGGTGGAAGTTGGGAGTAAAGTTCCCAAGAAGCCTGGAGTTAGTTATAACGTGGCATTTGGTCATTGATTTCTAACCGTGTCAATTTTTTTATTTCATATAAATGTACGACATATGTCGATTACTTAAGTATAATAAAAAGTAAAATAAATATAATTTTTATAATTAAATGTTAGTTTATTTTACAAAAAGCCATTGAAAAGTAGTTTTTTTTCTGATAGCCTTTTTGATTTCGAAGCGCAATTTGCGTCGAGTGATATATAATTATCCTACTAATATTGAAAATACGACACTTTAAGATAGATTGGAATTTAATTATTCTTGTTTTTACTATGAACTACGAAAAAGTTGGTAATAAAAACTGTACGATTCTATACGCCTTTATGTTTTACTGCAAAAAAAATATTAAAATTTATAGTTGTTTTTAGGTGTTGGTATATATCTAAAATAAATAATTTTAAAAGCCTGGATGAAATTAAGTTTTCTAATGAATACGGCACGATGGACCAACAACTTGAGGAAAACGGCTGGTAGCGCATGGATGCGGATTGCCCAAGACCTGGATGACTGGTGCTCCTTGGGGGAGACCTTTGTTCAGCAGTGGACTTCAATATCCTGATGATGATGATAAGAATTTAGAAAAAGAATCTTTTTTATGTTTGTAATTATTTGGAAATGTAAACCCAAATCTAATAAGAAAATGACAACGGTAGCTAAGCATGGCGTGAAAATTACTATTCTACCAATTTCTGTAGCAATTATTAATTTTGACATGTAATTAAAAGTAACAAAATTGACATGGCAGGCAGCTACCGTATTAAGACTTTAAAATATATTTTTTTTTTAATCACAACTCCCGCACTAGGAATACATCCTGCGTCGCGAGGCATTTTCCAAACATACATCTGAATCAGAACCGGACACAAAGAAAAAACAGACTCAGAACAACAATTTGTGGATCACACAAAGTGTCGTCCTATATAGAGATCGAACCTACAACACTCAGCGCAGTGGGAAGCGGCGAGGTGACCGCTTAAACCACTACGATTTTCTTTTACCATTTTACATTGGAAAATACTCCTTGTATATTTTTTTTACTATTTGTTTTTCCTAATGTTCGTAATTTATTGCATCGACTTTGATTACAGCTGCCGGAAATAAAGGCCCACTACACCGAATCTTTTTTGTGCCACTGCTGCAATGGCATATCGTAATCATATTGTAAGTAAGAAACAGTTGAATAAAGGCATCGCAAAACAACTCGTAAGTTTTTTGGGAAGACTATATTCATCATTGAACGTTTTCTGAATGAGATAGACTGGACTGGAAGATGATGATAGACTGGTGAAAAATCTTATTATTTTATTTGTAAATTCTCACTTCTGTATGGAAAGGGAATCTGAAATACATTGGGTAAATGTTTAATAAGCATTTGCAACATTTTATATCATATTCCCTTTCCTATTTCAGATATAGTCTTTTAAAATAAACCATTTGGTTTATTTTACTGTAGTGGTTGTAGACATACTTATATACATACATACTGAAAACATACTCTTTCAATAAACAGTCATCGAGACCACACAAAAATTTACAATATATATACATTTATATTAGTTTTCTTTCATTTATTTATTTTATAATTCAGTAATCAAATCAAGAGCCTTTTAAAATACTTTCATCATTCAGGACCGGACTTATAAATCCCGAGTATAATCATTGCAAAAGTATACCAATACGTAACAATGTAGTATAATGCGAAAATTCGGGCTTTCCTTCGGGCTTCACAGCTCGTAACAAAGGGTACCTCTTCATTCTTCTGATATTGCTGACTCACTCTGCATAACAAGACACTAATGGATTTGTATCATATAGCACTTACGTTGATGATACAATTAGTTCTCACGTATAATGCGTGTATAATGTATACCTACACAATTATGTTCTTAGATCTAGTTCAATTTATTCTAATTTATTAATATTACACATTTCTATCAAGCAATGCTATACGCTAGGGTTTACCTTAGCTTATAGCATTGCTTGCATTTAATCCTTTTATAGAATCTATGATAGATTCTATAAAAGGATTAAATACTTAGATAAACGGCAGTAGCAGCTTAATAGCTTAAGCGTCGGACTTTTGAGGATTCAGACCCCACTCAGCTGATAGGTAAAATACCCGAAATAATGAAATTAAATAGATTCGTGCATATCTTGAACTTATAAGTAAGTATACACATAAATATTCATAGTAACACAAAATACACATATATTTAAATTGCTGTGAGCGGACACTGAATATATTTGACCTAGACGATGATGTACTACTGGTAATCATCTATTTTATATATAAATATAAAAAGAAACAGACAGACTGATCCACTGACTGATCGATCAACGCACAGCTGAAACCGCGGGGTGTAGACTGTAGAAGCATGAAATTTTGTAAGAAGGGGAAAAAGTTTTTTTTTAATTCCACCCCTAAAGATGAAAATTGGGGGTTTAAAATTTATATGGAACTTCTTTATTCTTGATAGTAGCGTTTAAAGTGATAAAAAAAACGTTGTTATTAATTTTTCAAAACTTCCCGTTCAAAATTAAAAACTTGAAAAAGGCGTTTAGAAAGAAATATTGTCATAAAAACCTTACGAGTCATTGAAAACGTTCGTTGGTAAAGATGCACTTACGTTTTCTATCAGTCAGTAAATCAGTCAACTAATTATTTTGTATCTTCTTTTATACATCTTCTACGATCTATGATCTTGATTCATTGTATCCTCTACGATGTCTGATGTCGCGGACAATAGTTAGTTTAAGATAAAAAAGAAGTAAAATATTTAATAGTTTTACATTCCAATAAATACAGTCAAAGTCATTTGAGTATTCTTCCAAAGAACTGATAGGGCATGCACATTGTTCCATGGTATAATATTAGTATGCAGCTCAGTTATCGTCTGAACACACAATACAATAACAAACACATTCTTATATCCATATGTTGTAGTTATGACATTCAAACTTGACCGTGTCTAATTTAACAAATAATTACCGTGTTAAATAAAATCCTCTGTGTGGAACACATTGTCAGGCTTTGTAAAATTAGAATTTTCAGTCACCATAGATAAGAAAAATAAACAGAAGATTTTTATTTATTGTTTCAATATCTTGTTTTGCTGTACAAAAAAAGATTACTCTGATTCGTTATATATTTTAAATGTTATCGATTTGCAATAATAGAATATCTGGATTGGGTGAGTAACATAAAAATTAACGTAAAGCAAATCGTTTCAAATATTCTGTTTTATGCAAAGGAAAGAAAGTTATTAAGCTATTGCATAGCTTCTATCGCGGGCCTTGAGCGTAGAAACCGAATCTAACCTAATCTAACACACCCCACGTGATACTTTTTAGTTTTGCCATCTATCGATGAATAGCAAAACTTTTAATGACTTTTTTGAAATTTCACGCTTGTCTCTTTAGTTCAGCAACTCGCCTCTAGGTGGCATTGGTTGTATCGGCATTACTGCGCATGCGTAATCCCCCTCTTCGCCCCGCAATCTAATTTATATCAAAGAAAAAAAAAACAAATAAAAAAAAATACTGCATTAACAAAATAAATAAATAATTATAATTGCGTAAGTTGATAAAAAATGCTATGCAATAGCTTTACCGCGGCAGTCCCCGAGTGCCACACGTCTTTTTTTCAACAACTCTAAGACTCTGCGTAAATAATTGTAACAGTATTGAGTGCTATCCCAGAAAAGACATTATACTTATACAATTGTTCTTCTTCATCCCAGTTTCAACATATACGCATATATTTCATCAGATAAAGCCAAATAATCCTTCCCATTCAATCTAATGGCATGGGAGTGGTAACATCAATCGTCGCATGATCGTACCAGTTCTCGAACACCTTCCTCTCTCTCTATTCGGGGATTTTTCAACTCAGTGGCGTAAATTTACATTCTTTCCTTGTTATCCAAAGCGTTGGATACATGTGTATATAAACATCTATCACAGTTTATACATCGCAACCATTTACTAAGTCCTTTTCAATAAGACTTCAGGCCTGGTCACAGCACAACTTCCGCTCTCCTAAAAGTGACTGGTAACATGCGGGCGGGACTTGCGGACTCTGAAGTTACCGAGTTGGTTTTAGTTGATTTCTCAAATACATTTAACACATCGCCGCAAGATGTAGCCGCCTCTATGAAATCACCTCATACACTGGAATAATTCTCATTGATCGTGTGTCGTGATCTCAGTGTCGATGAATCCACCTCTAGATGATGTGATCTTGACTCTGGTGTCCCCCAAGGCAGCATTCTCACTTCTTTTATTATTCCAGATTTTACCAATCTCATCACTCAAAATCTTCAGTGTGCATAGCAGTTTTATGTCGATGACATGCAGCTTTAAAGCCATGCTACCATAAGAAAATAACAAAAGCTTTTTCTATGATTAACTGCGATCTGGAGACTATCAATGCTGATCTGACACGTTTGGTTTATCTGTGAACCCTGCAAAATATTCGTCTATTATGGTTGGAAGTCAACGCTCGCAGTAACGCATCATGACCCCTGCGGAACCCTGAATGTGACCTGCCTTCTGCATTCTGCCTTCGGCGATTAGGGAGGCAATTGGTGATATACCAGTGCCTCCCTAATTCATTTCTACACCACCCCAAGGTAGACTGGCAGAGAATGCCTATGGCATTAAATCCACCTTTGAATATTTTTTGCACAGAGCAATTAATAAAATATTTCTGTATTTGATGGTGTTAGTTACAACTTTTTTTTTCATTCTACACTTCTCGGCACACAAGTTAAAGGAAATTTGTGTCCTTATAAACCTATTTTTCTTATTATGAGGAACGAGGTAACATTTTAATGTAAACCGTACCCATGTACCTATCAAGGAATATTTTAGATACAGCCCTTAAAACATAAACCGTTTTGATTAATTTATTGATTAAAGTTTGAAAGTGTATTTGCCGCCTAAAATTTTCAAGCGACTATAACTCAAGGATCACTGGTATTCCTGACTATCAAGTGAACCAATCAATCGTATTTTAATTTAAAACTTGTAGTTTAAAGTATATTTTTTTTGGTATTAAGGAACAGTTGTTGACACGAAGTTATTAATGTATCATAAGTCAGTTGATTAGTAATTAGCAATAAACGTTGCATATTTAACGCGATTGATTTATGACGTATATGTATTTAGGTGTTGTAAGAATTGAAGTGTAACAATTGCTTATTCTGTTTGCATAATTCATTTTTTAACTGCTAGTTCAAGAACTTTCACATGTTTATTTTAGACATTATTTTAATATACTTTATCTGTCATTCTGAGTCTGTTGTTCGAAAACTATCTAAACTAATCTAAAAATCACTAAAAATATGTTTAGTCCTGCCAAGTACTAAGGAAGTAAACTACGCAGGTCAACAGTACTGCAAAGAGAAGGAAAACTTGAAAAAAACCCTATACCAACCCGTCTGGCCAGCGTGGTACAGTAGGCTAAAACCTTCTTTCTAAGGAAAGACCTATGTCCAGTAGTGGACTAGTAAAGGCTGTTGATGGTGATGATGATGGCAAGTACTACGTTTTCAGAATAGGAAACATTGGTGCTAATTCTGTTGTTCGAAAACTCTCTAAACTAAACTAAAAATCACTAAAAATTTGTTTAGTCCTGTCAAATAACGTTTGGTATTCTGAAAACGTAATACTTGATAGGACTAAACTAACTTTTAGTGATTTTTAGTTTAGTTTAGAGAGTTTTCGAACAACAGAATTAGCACCATTGTTTGACAAGACTAAACAAATTTTTATTTTAGTTTAGAGAGTTTCCGAAAAACAGAATTAGCACCATTGTGTCACCATTACAATTACGTTTGCCCCCGTCCCCCCGTCCCCTCATACCATAAAATAAAAACCTTGATTACAGGCAACTTGACGTGAAGATCTCTTTGGAGTGCAATCTGTATCAAGAACAGTGAAACTAAATTTCAGACAGCTCTTGTTCAAATGTTCAAAAACAAAATAATACATTCTATTTATTGATCATCACACACTGATACGGGTTTAAATGACTTATGTAGAGTACTATTCCCTGAAAAAATAATTTACAGGCAGAAAATCTTCTCTTTCGTCTTTATTCTAATTTCGTTATGTCGTCAAGTATGTTTTTTATAAGTTCTTCCTAAAGCAATGCAGAAAAAAGTTAGTAAGTACAATACATTTTTCTGCATTTGGATTTCTTCGTGACTACATCACATCTACGGCCTAAAATAGTCCACTGCTGGACAGGGCTTCTCCTAAGAAAGGAGGTTTTGGCCTACTATATCACACTGGCCATGAATATCGATGGTGACACTCCGTATTCTTAATCCGTCACCACACGGATAACTTTAGGATAACTTGCAAAAAATGCCTTAGGCATTAAGAACGTCAATATATGTGTTTTAATTAATTAAATGGATTTATTAGTTATACTAAAATACATAATTATTTTTTAAAAATATAAAAAAAATATTATTTTTCGCGAGTTAGGAACAAAATGTTAAAATACTTGTTGTTAGGTAGAACTTTGTCGTATATTTATTCTATTGGCCCACTCAATTTAGGCCGTTACGGGTGAGGAACGCATTAAAGTAAAAAAAACAAAACTGTAATCAAAGTATAAATATGTACAATGATATTAGCAGCAGTCACTGAATTTAACTTCGTATTGAACGCATAGCTATTTAAAGAAAAAAACATCGTGTAGTAGGTACCTTAACACGGTATATTCTTTGGCAATGTATTAGTAATTCAGGCGTTTGCGCAAAGCCTTGGTTATAAGTATGAAAGGAACCCGCCGATCGTTTTTTCCTGATAATATCAGAAACATGGTTGAGGTACGAGCGTGTTTCTATTTTTCTGTGTTGTTCTTGTGCTTCCATCTGGCTACTGGAAAGGTTAGTAATGAGCAACACTACATAACATATTTGTAAAGTAAATTAAATTATACTTAAGCTGAAATGCATTCGGAATGATTGTGACTACAAAGCAGAATTAAATTAAAGTCCTAGAAGTCTTAGATTTGTATTTAATTTAGCAGGAAGTTAGAGAAATTAAAAATGCAATAAATCAACCTTCTTTGACTGGAAAGCTTAATAAAAAACATATAGTTAATATTGATTACCTTACACTAAATTTATGCAAACAAAGAGTTTCAGGTTTATTTCTAATTAGGAATGACAGGACATATAAAAAAGGCTGCCTCTTGAAACATAAATAATTGAAACACGTAAGACAAAGTCTAAAATTGGGATTTACATCCTCAGGGTCATATAAAATTGTCTCGTAGAAAACAGAGACAATTGCGCTACCCGCAGTAAGTACTAGTTGTATTAAATTGGGGTTTACGTCTTCAGGCGACATTAAAAAACCCTCTCTGGAATTGGAACTACGTTGGTGTTTCAATTTGTTTCAATTCGATTTTTCGTAAGTTGTAAATAAATTATTGGATGACTCTGTTTTATTAGAAAACATTTATTTTTATTTTGAGCTTAGTACATTACGTAAATATTAGAACCTTAAGATTTTGAAATAATGAAGAATAATGAAACATAAATAATAACATTTCTTTTCTAGCCATTCTTGGGATTTTTGTTCTGCGACTTTTTGTGTGATGATGACGACGACTCTTCCACTACAACCACTGCTAGTACCGAAGATCCCTGGGACATATTTATGTGTGGTGGATGTGGAACAAGGAGACCGAGGACAACGACGACACCAAGCCCTTTAATGCCGAACCCTATGCGAACACCTATAAACTTTGTGATTCGTAAGTATTTAACATTCTAAATTTGAAATATTACTTTCTTCTGCACAGCCCGATTTTTTGGCAATTCAAGTCAGTCTCTTGAAAATTTTCGCATACTCCTTAGATTATATTCTTAATTATTAACTATCATTCTAAAGAAATTGTGTTGATATTTTCGTTTAAAAGTTATTTTTACATGGTTTATTCTCTTTCCAATGGCGGCTAAATTTGATTTGAATAAGAGCAAATTCTTCGCTCGTGACAAAAAGCGGTTTCTGCAACCCGTTTGGGAATTCGAGTTACTAGATGTCCGTGAAAGTCAATTTATTTGTTCATTACAAGTATATCTTATCACGTAATGTAGTTTGTGTACGCATTAATCCTATCCTTACTAATACTATTCACGAGAAAGTAACTCGGTCTGTCTGTTATCCTTTCACGGCTAACCGCTGAACAGATTTTAATGAAATTAGGCATTTTCCATGGATTTGATTCTTGGGGAAGCTATATAGCTATATAACATGGCTGGAGCCATGGGCAAGAGCTATTGTAAAACACTTAAACTTTATCTGTAGCAGAAAGTTAGCCAGAGAGTCACAGGAACGCTACGGGCCTTCTATCGGCTTAAAAACTTCCTTACTTCCGACACAAAAGGAATGCTAGTACAGACTCAAATAAGGATAGGACCCAGGCGCCTCTCATTTAAGACGAAAGTCCGAGCTCGAATTATCAACACTCTAGCAGATTCATTACATCCCTAAAGTTTTATATAGCATATTATATATGTACGTATGTATATATTATATATGTATGCGTATGTATGTATGTAATTCAGCAAGTATATATGTAAGTGTATCTCAGTATGTATGTATGTATATCTGTCACACTGGTTCTGTCCATATCCTTAATTATTATTATCTCGTTACATATAAAACTTAATTTCTAGTGCACCTACTCAGATATTTCCCTATCACCCAAAGGTAGACTGGGAGAAAATGCCTGTGGCATTAGGTCCGACATTGTTCAATAAATTGTTGTTTGTTCAAAAATAATTAAATTAGCAAACATTTTTAGTCGATATATGTACGTAATAATCTTAAAAATTATGCGAAATTGGTTACAAAAAGCTGCAGCATGGAGTACTTAGCTGAATTACCATGGTCTACGCAATGTCAGTTCTGTTATACTGGTTAATGATATTTAACAAAACATTGGAAGCAAAGAACTATGATCGAAATTTGACCACAGGGCGATCTCTATACATATTTACATTCAACTTGTTCCAAAATTCATGAATTTATAATAATAATAATAATATAATAAAATAATTTATTTCATAAATATTGTACATTGTTATAAAAAATATGGCGTCTCCTTTTAAGTAAAAGAATACCTGTGCCAGGAGACTCCATCTTATATAGTGTCACAGTTGTGTGTTTAGAAATAAAAAACAAAACTAAAAAACTAACAATATATAACAATAAGTAATGAATCCACTTTATATGCTTACAAACACTGCATTTGACAACATGAATTTTTTCTATTATGACTTCCAAAAATGGATATTTGTAAATGAATGGAGAAAATACATTTTACATTTTTACATTTATAAAACTATGCTGTGCTTAAAAAATGAAATAGATAAATAGATGTTGCAGTATTAGGTACGTCTTATTTAGCTTCATCCTTCGTTCGTGTTTAACGACTACTACGTGTATTTCGGCCGATCGTCACGGCGCTTGTCTTTCATACATTGTGTAAAAGATTGACGCCACAGCTGATTTGATTGGCAAAACAGTTCTTAAAAAAACCGTGTAGTGATAGCAATGATAAAATGCATCCCTTAAAGAGCCAACTTGAAAATAATATTATTTCCTGAAAAGAGAAACAAATCCATTCAAAAGGTTTTTATTTATTTGTCCAAAGACACCAAATTATACATACTTTTCTGCAAGGAAACACCACCTTCACTATTTATGTAAACTGCAAGAGACTTGAATAGTAGGGATTATAATAAATTCTGTTTCTTTCTTCGCCAGTATATCGCCATAATAAGTACTCGTATCGTATCGTAGTAGGTAGACTTAAAAGCCATCCCTAACCTAGTTTGAGAAGAAGGCTAATAGGAGATTTATAATCTACAGCATTGTTATGTTCCGCTATGGAGGGTAGAGGTAAGGAGAACCGTCTCTGTGTATACGTGTCCGTAAAAACCCGTCTTATAAGGGTGGCGAAATTGTGAAGAAAGCGCAAAAAGTAATTAGAATAAAAAAGACTAATAAAATCACGTTGAATTATTTCACATCACATCAACAGCCTTTAATAACCCACTGCTGGACATAAGCCTCACCTTGGGAAGGAGGTTTAATTATTTCAAACTATTTAACCTCAGCACATTTCACTCCGTCTACAGCTATGTTCATATCGTAGTTATTCGTACGCCAGTGAGCTCTATTTTCAGTATACAGCAGGACACATTTTCAACTTTCCCCACATGAGACGGTTCTCCTTCTCTCTACCCTCCATATGTTCCGCATACGAATAATACGATGTCGAACTAATATAAATCCAATTATTGGTAACAAATCCATTCTTATTATATTTATTTATATACTCGTATTTACTTTTTAAAACGTAAAAGTACAAGATTTTTTTTATTTCAGCTGCGTCATCGAATGCCATGAATCTAACATGGTATCCTGGGTCGAATGGATTTTTTATGATGCCTTGGAATCAAGGTGGTGCTCCACCTGCTAACGGAGCTGCAGGAAGTCCTCCGCCGACTACAGCCGCTCCAGCGACTACCGCTGCATCAACAGCTGCTGCGCCTGCTGCCTAACCTATAAACTATGCCTCTCTACATTAAGTAATATATATTTTATACACAAATAAATGCCATTATGCCTGTGGAAGTAAAACTAATGATATAATATTGAATCGATTGTTTTTATAACAATTGTTAATTGTGTGCCCGTTATTTAGTGTCACCATATTGTCACCACATAAAATCCAAATATTGCATTTTGTGTGGTGAATTATTTAACATGGTCTTGTAATAAAAGAAAGTAAATGTAAGAAAATAACTGTAGATACAAATAATATTCTAGTTGTAGTTTTCTGTAAAATAATTTATTTTGCTGTAATGATAATAATAAACTTTTATTGTAGTTTTAACATTTATGGTTTATCATTTGAAAACAATTATAATACAAATTATATAATATTAATGTAAATTCAAAAAAGAGATATAGTCTTAATCAATGAAAATCGTCATCATCAAGAGTTTTAGTGAGTCATCACAATCATTACGAACTAGACTACACACCTAGACTAGAACTATTAAAAACTATGAAGTCTATAATTTCGTAAAAAATAACCTCTCTTTTTACGAAATCATTAATTCTAGAGTTTTAAATTAAAAATTAATATCATTATGATTTCAAGTAGATATAGCATAGCGGAGACAAATGTAAAGGGACTGTATAAGTGGAACTGTCGTTGTTTAGTCATTTTCTATTTTTTTAGTCATATTATAGTTATATTATATTTTTTAGCTGTATATTATTGAAAAGTAACTAGCTGTACTTCACCAGACTAGGCTGGCACTGGCGGCACATTATTGTTCTATGAAAGAGAAATCCGCAATAAAACGCGAAAAACAGATTAAAATCATCTTTGAAGACTATTTTATATCTTATCAGATTTGTGCTCAGTCGGTGCAGAGTTTTTTGAGTTTTGAAGAATACAGAAACGATATATAAACAATATAGGAAACGATTAATGATATAAAGCTGTAAAAACTTTTAATATTCGGCAATTTGCACTCCTTCATGAGCGAAATTTTTAAAAAATAGCTTACGTATAAGAATTATGTTCATGTCATAATGTATAGATATTACAAATTTCGCCACTTTCTGAGGAAGCCTTTTCAAAGTTTCTCTTTTATCGGATTACTACATCATATAAGGAATTTAACGAAGAAGAAAGAAGAGAACACATTTTAGAAGTTTTACGTCTTTATGATCGGCCAGTGGTTGGTAAAATTAGCAGGCTGTGCGTTGATAAATGTTTAAAATGTTTAAAGTATACCTCATTTATTTAATGCAATTTTAATCTCACTATAAACTTTAACTAATTATATTGGAACATCAAAACTCTGAGCTGCTGAAATTACTTTCCAGTATTATTTGAAACTGAATAAAATCTAGTTTGAATTTGTATCAAGTCACTACGAATAGTGCTTTCAGAGTAAGTCACTTTGTCCTGTTATTTATTTACTTTAATAATAACATAAACGCACTTACATTATTAAAAACATAATAATGGAAATGTCAATCAGACATATCATTATATAGCCACATAGAATTCAGAGACACATACCTATACAAAAAAAAATAGTTTTCAAGAACTATGCAAGGTTTATTTCCTGTTTATCCACCGAAATGCAGAATCAAATATTAAGTTGATAATCAAATTAACTAAATATTTCAGGACTCTATTAGGTAAATGCTTAACCTATAATGAAAAAGCCTTAACGAAGTCTATTATTTATGAAAACGTAAATGGATTGGATTAGCATACATGTGATCAACGCAGATCAACTGATTCCGAAATAATGATAAACAATACCATTATTTTCATCCACTTTAATTACATTATTGTCAGCTTTATATCACGCTAATAAACTTTTAAATGCGCTGAAATATAAAACATAAACTTCTTGTCATAAAAAACGCAGCAAAAAATAAACGCACTCAAAGTAATAAATAAACAAATAATTACATTCATTTACATCACACGATACTTTAACCATTATAAATGCAGTGATATACCAATATCAGTGCAAAAGGAATGCGTATAACAGAATGTTACAGTTAGTAAATTAGCACGGGAAGTTTAGTAACCGACATCAAAGAATTTCAACAATATTTGTTTATTTCGTGAATTAATCGGTACTTTTACAAAAGGCGTATTTATCGACACTGTCAAAGAAGATCCCGAACAAATACGCACGTGTAGAATAAAGTGATACGTACCTCGATACCTAATTGATTAGGTAATTAGTAGTTAAAGTGTCAATTAATAACAGGATCGGCAATACAAGTCGTTTGGCAGCGGAAGATTATTAGGTATATATAAACTTTTTACCAGTAAAATTAGTACTAAGCGTGTAAACCTTAAAAATACTTTACATACATGTTTTGAAGTTCCTGTGGTTCAAGTGGTTAGTGACCTTGCCTGACTCACCAAAAATAATTGTGAGATGAACATTTTCATTACTAATATTTACATTTACTCCCGTCACCCTGAAGCCATGAAATTAACCGAATAAAAAGCGTGATTGATATACACTGAGATTGTTGAGAGATCGTCATCACGACATCTTTAATTAGGATTGAAGTACCTACCGTCGTTCTCATTGAAGTCGCGGTGACTATAGCAGTGGACAAGCGCTTTGATATCCTCAAAAAACTACCAAAGGGAAAATACTTGGAAAGACAAAGTATAAGTTGTCAGGTTGCTTTTTATTTAACAAACATTTTATAAAGTGAAAAATAGATGTTAAATTGCAGGTGACGTGACGCAAATAACGCCTCTTTGAGTGGGTAGTGTGGCTAATGCATTATTAGACCTCGCTGTTTTCGTCTAATGTTCGAAGCAGATGAAATTAACTCACGTTTATACCTTCTCTATATTTTTTCTTTCTTGATTTACTTATTTCTGTTGTAAAAATACACACGAAAAAACATTAGGTCAATTGCATCACACGTTAAATTAAAAATTGACAAACCTATAGAAAACCCAAAACAATAGACAAAGATTTAATACTCAATAAAGCATTCGCAAATAGAGGTAAAAGGTTTCCAATTCGCTCTAACAAAGTACTAAGGTAAATACACTTGATTTGGAGCTGTCGATTAAAGTCTTTCTCAGTCTTTTAGGAGGCTTTTTTTAATGCAAAGGCGAGCAGACAAAGCAGAATAATCATCAGATAGTAAGTGATTATCACCACCCACGGAGACCGATTTCCTGTAAAACTGTGGGATCACTTCGAACCAGCCGACTCATACATGTCGAAGCATGGTTTTCCCGTAGTAAATAGATATTCACCATTAAAATTTCTACAATGAAATGGTTTAAAACAGTTTTTAGAAGTAATAAAGTATGTCATGGTCTATGCAAAACACGCATGCATGCGCGTCACGTAAACAAACGCCATAGCAAGACCTCGGTCCACGCACATCGAATATATTGATACTTCTTAAAATGTATGTGCATGTACTGGTTCAATTTCTGAGTCAAGTAAGGTCATGTATTGTTTGTCTGTACGAATCGCATAACACACTTGACACAACTAGACACACTTGATTTGCGGGAAGTAAATGACTCAATATGGTAAGTCCAGTAATTATACAGAGAGATAATGCAATATAGAACCGTTGCCTACTTTTAAGAAGTTCTTTTCCACCTTATTAAAAAATATTTAGAAAAACATATGTAATAAATGGATTCCTTAATAATATATAAATACAATGAATTCGAAACAACAAAATTTTAATAGATTGGATCTTGTCTATAATAAAGTCACATCGGATGGACCCGGACCCCCCTCCAGAGTAGGGCCTGAAACCGAGTTGATTTTTAGTAGAAACACCTCATACTCCTGGTTCCTGCGTCTCCAAGTAGCAGGGGATCCGAATGAATTTGCCACCCTGTCAACAAAAAAAAAAAAAAAAAAAAAAGTGTCATAACAGATTAACTCAAAACTTATATAGTTGTTTCATGTAAAGACTGTCTACGTGGCAATTGCCCATTTTGAGTGTGTATTTCGTCGTGTGTATTTTATATAAACCGGGATCCTTGAGTTATTTCTGCGTTTCTTCTCAAGGTTAGTCATAGAAAACCCAGTTTCAAAAACTAGTCTGAAAATATGTGCTTGATGAAAAAACATTTATTTAGTTACCATGCATCATTTAAAAAGTGTTCATTTATTGATTGATTAAGTTTACAGGGTAATATACTAGTATGTACCGAAGTGATACTACATAATCTATCCGCTTATAGAGTTATAATAGATTCGTAAGTTTAAAGGCCATACTACATAGCGTACAACTAGCGTACTCGGATGTATTAACATTTGTGTGACTGAACGAAGGTTGTGTACTAGCGAAGGAATCTTAATTTCTAAAATAAGCATAGAGTAGTAGTACTTGTAGATAAAGAAAAGAACGTTGGGTTACCAAGATATATTTAATTCATAAATGTCATCACTTCAAAAATATTTACAAGCGGGAAAATACTTATTTTTTTTAATTTACTAGCCATGCTTCGGCCCAAACGGCGTTAACAGCTTCACAGAAAACTGGTGTTAAGTAGTTCTAAAGCTATGATCCTTTTCCCCGAGTGAGTGAGGTACTGAAGCCCAAACCCTACACTTCCTCCTGATTGAGAGGGGAGGCACTGAAAGGATGTCAACGCACTTCTGACTCTTGAGTTACAGGTATCCATGAATGGCGGTAGTGGCTTACCATCAGGTGACCCGTCTGCTCGTTTACCTCCCTATAACATTAAAAAAGAAAAACTCACTTATTCCAGTAATATCTAAAGTAATGATTCCCGACTAATGTTCCATTTTTATAAATATAATCTAAATTTCCAAAAGTACCTTAAAATTATTCAAATAAATATTCAGCCTGTATAAAGCGTGTTCTGGTTCGTCTTCCAGGACACCATGACGCAATTCTCAGGTTACGTCCAATTCAGCGCTCTGTTTATTACATAACATATTTAAATAACAATGCTCGTGTTTGCACTTTTTGAAATTTTCATGTATGTGTA